CCTGGATCCGTCTACTTCAGTGCCTGTTGAACACGATCCAATTGCTGCGAATACATGTCCACAATGATAGGCTGGCCACATTGGTAGCAGCACATAGTGCAACACCTAACGAATTTGTCACCAAATAATTTTGCGTGTGTGTACAGGTGTTTTTTGTTTGTTTTTTGTTTTTTTTGGTAAAGCACAGAGTTTCGTGATGACGACAAATGCTTTGTACGCTTGGGAGTGTCAAACTTTTTGTCACTGATGAGCATTCGATCAAATATGGTTACGTTGCAGTGACGAAAAAGCAAAGAGAAACATTCGTTTTTGGGTTTTTTTTTGTTTTTTTTAGCTTCCGACAGTGTCTGGGACCACTCACTTACTCAGCTTGTACAACTACCACGTGAAATATGACTCTTTCATCAGATTCCTGGTAGCTTCGACAAGGTAGCCACATATTCCGTTGTTGTCCTCCTCAATGCTCCTTTTCAGAGACTTCTCGTACAGGATCTGCGGTCGGCTAGAGCGGGGTTCAACACGAACGGACAGATCTCCCGCTCTAAACTTCAGGAATCATTGTCTGATGATGCGTACAGTCGCAACATTATCCCTACAGGTTTGACATAATCGGCGACTTGATGCTGATGTAGACAAGCACAACTTAAAGTCATAATTCAGTAATCTTAAAAGGTACATCGATCTCGTTATGTTTCCTCACCGATGATCGAACTATGATTGGGTTCAAGTGCAATGTTATCCCCACACCGCTTTCTTTGCATGTGACACAGTCAATGGCGTATCTGTGATCCCCCCTTTCCACATGATGCAAACAAGGACGTTTTTGGTTACATTATAAATTAGACGTATTAGATTTCAAGCGTTTATCGTAAACATAAATACGAAGTAAGTGCTGAAGACATACAGTTCGTGCCCACATATCAAACTCTAACGGCGTTCTTAAACTAGACGTTTTTCGAATGATCTTTGAATATATATAGTACCAGTTTAAAAACAAGTTTTCTATCATGTTAAAAAAACGTCGAGAATATTACTTCAAATGAATTTACAACTTAGATATGGATTGCCGAATTCAAAGACTAAAAATTAAATCCTTCTTAAATTTAAAACTGATCCTTTTCCGGGTGCTTTCCATTTGGTTTCGGCCTTTGTGATGAACTCATTTCATAGATCTTTCGATCCGGGTAAACTCCAAGGAATTTCGAACTGCAGCCTTTGTTTATACTACGATATAACTTATTCATGTTCCGCTATTCATGTCATTGTACATCTAATATGTTCTACCCTGCCCAGTGATTGAGATTATCATATCATATTTACGAATCAACGCTATAATCCACTATCGCATTCAATGGGACAGTCCTGTATCTAGAATTAGGTGCTTTAAAATAAGGATAATCGATTCTAAGTGTTAAGTTCGCTGCTGTTGTTGCTGCTGTTTGGCTATATTCAATAAGCCTTCTAATTTCTTACTACTGCTGCTTTTACTGATGTTTATGTTTTGCAGTCATTTGCCTTTAATTCTTTAATGGAGAATTTCGTATCTTTTAATCATTTCGCCCGTAAGGAGATAATCAAGTAATGAACACGCAAGCGGTCACTGAATGTGAAATAATTAGAGAACATATTTATATTTTTGATTATCAAAGTTGAATGGAAAGCATTGAAGTGATTTCCACAAACGGGAAATGTGAGAGAAGAAACTGTTAGCAAAGAACTTGCGTTTACATGTAGCCATTTCAAAAGTAAGACTATGGGCTTTAATCTCCCAAACTAGTACTGCGCGTAATTCATAATATCTAGGTAACAAAGAGGAACTCAAATCAGAACAATTACTACGAAAATATTTATAGAAGATATACAGGAAAGCTGCGATGGAGAAGTAACTGAAGTAGATATTATTTGTACTGTATCAAGAATCTCTAAATTTATAGGAGAAACAGCAGACTTTTTCTGACAGGTATATTCAATATGGTTTTTATTTCTATGTTTCGCCTACTTTTATTTTTTCTAGAGTTTATTCTTCGAATTTTAAATAAGCATCATTGTTCGACATGACAAAATAAATTTCTGTTTAGAAATGATTGAATTTCTTATTGTTCTAATTTTTTATTTAACTATCTATTAATGATTTACCAAAAATAGTTGAAACAACGATACTCAGAAATTATATAAAGATGAACTGAGTTGAAATTCGACAAGTAGCAAGTCAATCGTTGAGAGAGTGTGAAACCTGTGTAACCAAGGATCGATGTCCAAAATATATATGCTCTCTATCTGTTCGATTGAAGAGTTTTAATTCAAACCCATTTGAATCCCGGTCTATTTAAATCATTCTTTCGCAGTGAATGAGATGTCATGGATTAATTTTCAATTTGTTTTCGTTTTATCGAAGGACGTAGATTGCTGGTGAACAGGAAGTCATCCGTGATTGGTGTGTAAATTGCCAGAAGGAGTCGCAGTGTGTAATTAAAAAAATATCGGAAATTTTAGCTAACGAATGGTGCACAAGTCGATATCCGATTAATATCGGCTGGGCCATCTAATGAACCTTGACCAAAAACATGATCGGTGACAAATCATTAAACTGGTTCATTTTATGAAATTAATATCAGTTTTTCTGTAGCTTTAACAACAATTGTCTTATTCTTATGAATTTACCTTCAAACGTTTATTGATGATAAAACGCATTTAATACAAATCTCGGATTTCGATTTGTGACCGACAAGAAACTTTGCGAGCACACAAAAGGTAATTTAGTTCCATTCCATCCTCAGAAGATGGAATCATTTGCTCCTAGAGAATGGCATTTAGAATATTGAAGGCCCTATTTCTACTTACCTGATATTCGGATCTTCCTTTATTTATTAGAAGTGCTTAATTAACATTCAGCTAATAACTATGACACGCATGCAACAGACATCCGTGTGAACAATTCACTAGGGCATAGGTATTGGGACCTACACTCAAAGAAATCAGTAATCGAAGATTAATCAACTGGCAACAGCAAGTCTGTTAATTATCGTAAAATGATAGTAAAGGAACAAATATGAAGAGTGTATCTTTTCCAGTCTGCAGAGAATGAGTTTTCTAATGATTCATTTTTTTTAAAAGGGAATTTTTCTTGCTTTTCTTGCACGGTGCTGTATTAGGTTGTATCAAAAATATTTTCACATATACAAACTTTTAGTCACAAATATCTAAAAGCTATCTCTGACTCAACGAGTTTATTGTCTGTTTATATCTATCATACAATCAGCAATGTCTGTCTTACATATTTTATAACGATACATAGAATTTGAAATACAGATAAAACAATATAACAACGCAGATTAAAATTGCGCCTCCAAATATCTTGATGACATGCACTTGAAAGATGATGTCGCCTCTGACCTCTCTCTCATGGCTCAATAGGCATAAGACTGTCTGGTAAGATTCAATAGACCTAAAACTAAAATAGTAACATTTACTGACATCCAAGCAGACTCTGACCCTACCCCAATCCCTTTTCTATCATCGGATTAAATCTCAGTGACGACATCTAATATAACACGAACGTCTGTGTCATACGAAAAACGTATGCTGGAAGAATGGGAAGTTCCTTTTTACCGCACCAGATTTACCTAAATCGCGATGAAAGCGTTCGATCAGACCAATAATGGATTATTGCTGACATGTCTGGGCTGGTGCTGCCACGTCCTCACTCTCCGGAGTTCGAAAGCGAATACGAGGTCTTGTGGGTAAGGAATAATTTTACACCCGGAAATCCTTTTCCCACAGACGAAAGACTGTTAGTGTCTCACTATTCTGCTGCTATTAGTATGGATAATGCTCGGTCAAGATATATTCCATAGACCCACCATACACAGCTACGAGGCGCCATGTTAACAGTGTTTATTTGAAAAAGGTCACTCAGAAATTTTCGTTTCCATAACTGTTGCTTTGTAGGAAAGACTCCCGAGATGATGTTTGCTGACCACTACAATCTTGGTCTCTTTAAGGTGACTCCTAATAGCTAACTAAAACATTCTAATTATATGAATTTGTTACTTCCTACTCCTTACTCCATTACAATAAACAAAACTCAGTAAGAATCTACCTGAGCTGTCTTTTGGTTCTTCTGCTGTGTAAACTAACAGTGAATAAATAAATAAAAAATGCCGGACATGTGATATATATATATATATATATATATATATATATATATATATATATATATATATATGTACATATATAGGCAGCAACCCTTCGTTTATGCATGTTTCATTAAAAACGACAGACAAGGTACTACAGTTAAGCATTTTATTTAATTTTTCTTGTGTTCGAACAAGGGCTTTCATTTCTAGCCAAAAGTGTGTAGAAATTGTTCAAATATTTTATAGTTCCGAGCGCTTTCGGCTATACCTTTGGCCATTATCAAGAATGATTCAATTTTTCAGCTTAATTGAGTGTGTGCATTATATGTATGTTTTAGTGTGTTGTAGAGATGTTTTTAATTTCCGAATACGCTTAGCAGATTGTGGCTTTGTTCGTAGTTAATATTGTTAAGAGTTGGCTTTTTCTTTTATATTATTAAAGCTTCCATTATTTTTAATCTTTGTTTCACAAGTGGATGAAGTTATTATATTTGTGTTTTCTACTAGTATAAAACATTTGGACAATTTTTTACACATTCTTTGTCCAGAAAATAAATTTCTTGTTTGAACACCATAAAAATTAACTTAAAAACTTTACCGTTATACCTTGTCTGCCGTTTTTAATGAAACCTGCATATCTATCTATCTATCTATCTATCTATCTATCTATCTATCTATCTATCTCTCTCTCTCTATATATATATATATATATATATATATATATATAAATTTGTCTATCTCTATAATAAAATCGTTCTGATACCTACATATGATTTGTAATCTATCTATCTATCTATCTATCTATCTCTCTCTCTCTCTCTATATATATATATAAATATATATTTGTCTATCTATATAATAAAGTCATCTATCTATCTATTAGGTTAGTTCAAAAATAATGACGTAAGAATGTCGTTTTTTGACGTAGAAAAGTACGTCATAAAACGACATTATTACGTCATTATTTTTGCACCAAACTAATATCTATCTATGTATCTATCAAACTATCTAAAAAAAAGAATACCTGCTCGGCCCGGCGGCTAGGGATCAAAGTGTAGTATCTGCGCTTTTGTGAGCTGCCGAGCCGGGTGTTCGTCGAACTCTCTGCTTGCAGAGAGGAACCCTGACGAAGCCCGCCGAAGGGTAGGGTTTCGTTGGGGAGGTTGACGGAACTAGCCTGCTTGGACGGGTTTAGATGGGTTTTATTTTTGGCTGGGCCTACGGGCTCCGGACATACCCACATTAAAAAGGCCTTGTGCCGCATTCAATTCCTGTGGGTGAATTGATAAATACCATCATCAAACTATCTATCTATCTAGTTACCTATCTCATTCTTTTTCTATCTATCTAGTTACCTATCTCATTCTTTTTCTATCTATCTAGTTACCTATCTCATTCTTTTTCTATCTATCTATCTATCTATCTATCTATATATATATATATATATATATATATATTGACATATATCTCTGAATGTTTGATTTTTTTCAAGCTATTTACCTCTATGAAAATAATTTATAACGAAACATTTATCCATAGATTTCTCTCACCGATTTCCTTCTTCTAAAGATATACCAGATTTCCGCCACTATTTGCTCACCCCCACCGCTGACACATTCACCTGCCTCCCATCAGACCCAAACTCTGGAATCTGCTCCTGGGTCAGAAAGGTGAAAATCGTGACGTTACATCTCATCAACTGCTTTTGCTTGTTGTCGCGGTCTTTTGGGTATTTTTCGCGGAGCCGTAAGCAAGCGGCGAGCAGATTCGATTTGAAAAATTCCTGGCAACGCAAACAGGCAACAACGCACCGTGCATATTAAACTTGCACGGTGCCATAAAAGCTTGGAGTGAACGCATAAATAGCAAGATAAATAAGATTGACACAGACACAGGCACAGACACACAAATAAATGCAGCATGCACAAACATATGCATACACACACTCACAGACGCACACACACAAATATCGACATATATGTGAGAAAAATATTACATACCTGCTTTTATTATTCTACACTCAGAAATATATATATATACAAGTTGTGTCCGAAACGTATCCCACCATTTAAGATTAAAGTAAAATGTACTAACTCGACAACGATTTCTTCATCAAAGTTTTTCACGTTTCTCTTTACGCACTAACGCCATTTCTAAATCAGGTTTAGCAACTGGCATCAGCTAGCTCTTTCGTTGTAAGCACATTAATCAAGAAGATGAATTTCGATGACGTTATTTAAAACATATTTTAACATGTTTACCACGATATTTATAAGGTACCTATTTGCCGCAATAGTTACTTATTTTATATGCCGTGTCCCTTCACTACGTAGGCGTTCATGACTCTCCATCTCTTCGTGTCTCTTGTTGCTCTCATGTATGTCACGCGTTTCTTTCCTTTGTCCCACGTTCCCTTTATACGTCCTGAGATTATCAGATTTTTCAAGCCCTCTTTTTTTATTACATGTCTCAGAAATTTCAGCTGCCTATTCCTGATATTAAGTATTAGCTTCCTCCCTGTTTTCATCTTCTCTAGAACCTCATCTTTGCTCAAACGCTCGGTTTATGATATCCTGAGCATCTTTTATAGAACCATCCATACCCCCGTTGCCTTGAGTCTCTTCTTCATCTCCGAGGATATTTTCCAACATTCGTTGCCGTAAAGAAGGACAGATATCACGTAGCAATTCAGTACTCTTTTCTTTGTTACTAACAGAATCCACCGGTCTCGTAATACTCTTCCTAGATTTTGGAATGCGTCTTTGGTCATATCAACACGTCTTCGGATCTCAGCCTCGGTCTTTCCTTCCTGTCAAAACACATCACAGATATTTAAATTTCCGTACCTGCTTGATTATAGTGTCCCAGACATTTATATCCTATTTAGCCAATTTACTACTAAATTTACTATATAGCCTATTTGCAACTATTTGTTACTACTTACAATTTACCCTAATAACTAATTTATAAGGTTATGTTTGCACAGAATAAAACATTTGGACAGTTTTTACAAGTTCTTTGGCCAGAAAAGAAAGCTCTCGTTCGAACACAAGAAAAATTAAATAAAAATCTTTACCGTACTACCTTGTCTGTCATTTTATAAAACATGCATATATATATATATATATATATATATATATATATATATATATAAAAAATCGGTGGTAGACCTACATATGATTTAAGTCATCTATCTATCTATCTATCTATCTATCTATCTATCTATCTATCTATGTATATATATATATATATATATATATATATATATATATATATTTATATATACATACATACATATATATATATATATATATATATATATATAAATATATATATATATATATATATATATATATATATATATATATATATTAAAAAAAACTTTATCGTAGTATCTTTTTTTAGCTTTTAAATTAATAATTTTAATGCAGCTTGCTAAAAAACTGAAAATCGTTTGAATTCTTTTAATAAAAGTTTTTTTTAATGAATATATACATTAATTAAGATTTGTTGGTTATCTGAAAAAAGAGATAATTTTAAAAAAAATCAATTTCGGTTAACTTACTTTTGAGAAGCACTGTAGATATAGATGGTGATTAAAAAGTAACTCGTTATTTATGTATGATGTACTCGCCTGTCTAACTATTATTTTTACAAGACGGGAGATTCCAAACATAAAATAGCTCGTTACTTTTCAATCAACATGTAGATATATAGATAGATAAATCTTAAACTGCAGCGTACAAGTTGACTTCAAGATTTTTAGCTCAAAAAATAGTTAAGCCTATACCTACCTTATAGGTCGACACCCACCCACAAAGATACGGTAAACAAATAATGACCGAAAACTTAGTCCTACCCATAAATGAAGTTAGGCTACGATATACGATAGCATGTACCAAAACTACATAATGTCACGCCACTTTCCTCTATATTGAGACACTCACCGTAATATACTTTTTTATACAACCAATGTACAACACTCACCGGTATTTACATGTATTTTATTGTTATATATGTACATTTGAAATTCGTCAGGTCTGCTGATAAACGCATTAATGTCAACATCAACTCCTATAAAATATTAATAATCTAGAATACACATTATACCAGGTAGTTTTTAAAAGGACCTCTACGTATCGTATGTTATTGTAAAACACTATTACTCATCCGCCATTTGCATAAGGAATTCAAGCAAACAAACAATGTGTATTGTAGTTTTAATTGAATATTGAATACTGAGTTACTATTTTTATATTAATATCTGTGTTATTATGCCAGATATTGGGTTGTATTTATGGCAGTCTGCAAGAGGTACGGTTACTGTTCGGTGTACAGTCCCACTTGCTTACAACTCGGTGATAAAGGTTTACAGTTTCTAACCGCCAAGTCAAGAAATTTCAGTTTTATTCGCAATGGAAATATCTTACGGCATTTAAGACAGTTAGTCCGACTAATGATACATCTTGGGAATCATCTATTTCTAAGTATGGCTGGAGTTTATGAACTTACAGACCCTGATAAATACGAACACACGCACACACACACACATACATACATACATACATACATACATATATTATTTTATTTTCGATATTAAAACAAAAACATGTCGAAAACTCTACACAAGCCTTTTCGTGTTTCAGTACTACTTTGCCATTTCTTCATGCGAATGGTAAAAGGCTGGTGATTAAATAATCTTGAAAAAAATTCCAGAATCAAAATGTTACTTCTTTTCATAAAGATAAAGTGGTTGTGGCTAAGAAAACACTTGATCAGAATTAAAAATAGACTTTCATTCTGACCATCGTGAAAAACGTGAGATTTGCGTAAGTCGGATTTTCGTCTTCTTGCAATATGAAAAAAATATTCTTGTATTACTAGGCGCATTAAAAGTAACGCCATTTTATATCTACTGATTTTTATTGAAGTAAAATAATTTACAGTTAAAAAATTTATTGTCACATCAAAACAACATCATTTGTTATGCTTAAAAAAAAACATAACATGTTCAAAGTTTTTTCCTTCCTGCCCAGTGCAACAAATCGCAACACTTCTACAAAGAATTTGCCATATTTCTGCATTAAAACCAGAAAATTTCACAGAAATTGCTTGTTTTACTTCAGGGACATTTTTGGTTTTAGCCTCTACGCAAGATCTTTAAATAACACTTCAGTTGAAAAAACAAAACAAAAAAAACTCGGTTACTGATGCGAATCGTAGACTAACTATTGAGTTATTTAACTTTTAATAAAAATATCTGTTTAACATAATATTGGCACAGTTCATATAAACCAGGGTTTACATTTTCTTTTAATTTAAAATTATATCTTGCATTTTAAATAGACGGGGGTTGTATTCTATATATAAAAAACGAAAACAAAAATTGTAGTTGTGAATATCACTTTCATATTAAGGATAAAGGGAGAATACTGGGTTATTTGGCATTTTTTTTACAAAATTTTAGATAAACCTAATAAAGTGAAAGCTTATAATTTACGTTCAAAAATTGATCTGTATTAACGTGTGGCACCATTTACCGAGGCAGAAAAAGAAAAGAAAGAAAAGAAGGAAAAAAAAAGAGGCGAGACCCAAAACGTGGATGATAAGCAGAACACCACGGCTAAGAGACAATGGTTAAAGGATATTTTGATAAGTAACAAATGGCGAAAGAGTGTCATTACAATGACAGGGAAATTCTGAGTGGATAAGGGAATCGGGTGTGTTTTGGCGACGGCTGTGTTATCTGGGATACTTAAACAAACTGCTGGCCGACTGGCCAAAGAAAAATCCAAATGAAAATGTTATTTCGATAAGTGACGGAAAACAGGTGGACAAAAGGGATTTGGATAGATATGAAAAATTAAAAGCCGCACACGATGTGTCCACTGACCGTTTTCTTTCGACGGAACATATTTAGCCTGTGATAATAAAATTATGTTATCAGAAATGTGTACCGAAAGGAAATGAATGGGAACTTAGAAATGTTCTTTTCGGGGCGACGTTTGGTCGTGTTAAAAAGACCACCCATTCTGATAATTAGCGATAAGTACTGACGAAGCCCAGGTGTAGAACGAGAGTTATGACCGCCGCCGTTCATATTATCCTGTTTGCGGCTAGAGAAAATTATTACTGCGATTAAGAGGAAGAAAAGGAAAAGAAAAGATAATTTTTTTTTTAATTAAGCAAGATTTTTATTTTTCCTGAAACAAAGCCGCGGATTCGTCCACGCCCGAATAAGACACCATTGGTCGAGTGGTGATCACGTGACGCACGAAGGAGGCTGTCGCTGCCCATCCAGAGCATAGGTATGAGAAGCTGCTACGGGAGTGGGGAGGGCAGCTCACGCCCCTCTGAAGTATGGTGAGAAGGTGGGAGTAAGAAAAGGCTCCCAAAAATGGAAAAGAGTGGAAAATTCCTAACCAAAAATAAAAGAGGTGGATATGTATTTAGAATTATCGAGGAACCCCCGACACCGACAAACCCACCCCGGTTTTGGTCGGCGTCCATATAAGAGAAGCCGCAGCTAGCGGAAATCAGTTGAGTTCGAGAAGAGTTGCAAGTTAAGTTCGAATTGAGTTCGATTTGAGTTCGAGACAGTTCCCAGAGTCAGTCTCCAGTTGAAGCAAGCCTCGCAGATAGCTGACCAAGATTCACGCACATTCCGGACTCATCTTCAATCCAAGAACAATTATTTTGAAGAGTGACTTAGATCCAGACCACCAATATAAGTTTTTTTCGACTTTCGTCCGAAGAAACATCTAAAAACCAATTTCTTAAAGAGCAAACAACTTGAAGCGTTGAAACTCGCCTAACGGAAAACAACGTGTCACAATCCATAGAACGGGTCGGGAAATAGACGCGGTCCTATGTATCGAACAACTAGACATAAAGTTTGTTATCTTTTTCTTTGATACCTCGAACTTTTGAGTTTTCATTTTATTTTCTTTTATGCATATTTGTGTGGTGTCACCCCGTTCAACCCGATTTGCATTACGGTTCTTAATTCACTGATTGATCTCGTCTGCCTAAGATCAATTCACAACGTGGGTAGGCAGACTGGAGATCAATGCAGTTACTTTGGTAACCAGGCGTTGGAAGCGAGTTGGGAACGACGAGGCTGATATCAAATCTAACCAGATTCCCACCCGAATCACCAAAAGGTTAGAACGTCACATTTGGGTGCCGCGACCGATACCAAGCCAGTTGGTCGTCACATGACGAGACAACACGACTGACGCGACAGGCGGACGTCACGTTTGGAGCGGCGACACCCGAACGGAGCCGCGAGGAGCGAACAGCTGGCGCCGCGGCGAGGACCTAACAGTTGGTGCCGTGGTAGACCAGGATAGGACGTCACAGTTGACGCTGCAACAAGGGGTCGACGTCACAAACGTATTTTAATAGATATTTATTTTTATGGCTACATGTAACCATCAATTTCTCTTGCTTAGTAAGCTAGGGATATTTAAATGCTTTATGATGACTAATTTTTCAATAAGGCGTAAATTACATCTGTTGCCTTTTCAATTAAGAGATTTGTCTTTTGCTACACTATCTCCCGTATTAATGGGTGTATTACAATTACTATATTATTGCCAGAACTCTTTGGAGTGAACTTTGCTCTCCATGTATCTTACATTGCCTAAACTCATTCATTGAAGATAGAAACATAACTTCACAGTGGAACCAATATAAAAACTGATATCATTACAGGAATGTATGCTAGCTCGGTATAGAATATTATTATTCATGCATTGGCAGTTTAAGGGCCATATCTTATGTTTTAACGCTGTTTTTGTCGTAAATGTATTTATTTAGTATAATAGTGTCATGTCGTGACAGACGTTTATTGATGTTATTAATGCAGCTATAACTGATATTTACGTTATTTTTTGTTAAAAATCCCTCCTAGTATTGATGAATGAATGAAGAGTATATGATTTAACTTTAAGAGAATTCTTCAAATATTCGTTTGGAGTTTACGATTAAAAGGGGTATTAAACCATATAATATTACGATGTCTCTGATTATTTGACATTTTCATTATTAAATATTATAAGTAAGCTTTTATTATTATCAAATATTCCATTATTGTTAGAGTTAGCAGATAATCGAACTTGGAATGATTAATTTGAATTATGTAAAATTTTATGATGCTGGTTGGAATTTTTAGTGACGTAACTATGGTTATATCCCTGGGATGAAGTTTGTAATAACCAGTATTCAAGTCCAAGATGGATTTTATGAAATTTGGACTATTCCAGTATTATCCACCTCCCGCTGTACTATATAAACGTATACTATCTTATTTGTATACTTATTTTCTCTTAGTCCCGTTGTAGGCCACTCTGTTTATTAAAGCCTTCGTCGAAGTACTTCTTTAGTTCTGTTTCTTGTTACAATTTAATAAACAGTTTTATTGAAGGATGGACAAGCATTTGAAACCCGAGAAATTCGACGTGTTTTCTAATTCAGCTTCTGCGACGAAAATCTTCAGTCATTGATATCGGACCTTCAGTTTCTTACTTGGAAAAACTACAGATGATACTGTACATGATGAACAAGACAAAATGAATATCTTAATTAACAGCATTTCTTTGGACGTCTACGACCATACTGCCGAATATGCTGCTTTCGAATCTAATGTAAATCGCCTCAAAGTATTAATTGCGAAACCCACAGACGAAATCTTCGCACCACATGTTCTAGCAACATATGGACAAAGAGAAGACGATGATATTGATGGGTATGTTCAGGGTTTACAACTATTTGCAAAAGAATGCAGTTGCAAAGTTTTTACAAGCGAATTATGCAAAAAGAGAAGACAAAATTATTCACATGTAATTTGTTGTATTTAATCTATAGTTCTTGATACTGAATTTTATATTCCCTTTGTTTCTTATTAATATATAAAAACTTGGGCTCATACAGGCATTAGATTATAAGAAATGGATAGGATTATTCAAAATTGATGGGTTTACAAATAATTTCGACGTTGAATATATATATATATATATATATATATATATATATATATATATATATATATATATATGTGTGTGTGTGTGTGTGTGTGTGTGTGTGTGTGTGTGTGTGTGTGTGTGTATTTTCCGGTTCTTTGTACCACAAGATAGTCAAGGTAAACCAATAAAGAAGAACTCGAACACAGGTATGGAATAACACAGATATATTATAAACAGGAATATATACAGAGAAGTAGTAGTGTTAGTATGAACGATCAGGTTTAGTAGAGAGAACAATGTAGTCTTGACCAGTATCACTATTCCAATGTCTTGCAGTAATTGGCTGAACGCGACTCTGTTTCGGACTGCCTCTGACTCGACTCTTGACTCGACTCTTGACTCGACTTGAACTACTGCAGACTCGCAGTATTTATTAAGTATGGAATAGTCCATTATTATTGTTTTTATTATTATTATTATTATTATTATTATTATTATTGGTAAGATCCCATAACAATATATATATATATATATATATATATATATATATATATCAAGTATTTAAAAAGAGGATGAAATCTGCCCAGTTTAAATATTAAACAGCTCTTTAAGACTGGCTTTCCGACTTTCTATGGAGCACTTTTAATACATTCAGTTTTAACAAATATTTTTTTTTTGTGTTACTCTGGTATATATATCAAATATGAGGTACAGTTCAATTTATATTACATATTATATTATATATTATGAATGATTCCTTGTAATATATATATATATATATATATATATATATATATATATATATATATATATATATATATATATATGTGTGTGTGTGTGTGTGTGTGTGTGTGTGTGTGTGTCTGTGAGCTGGCATCAATTATAACTCAAGTATGGTCCTGAATCCGACAGAATGATAAGATAAAGAACAAAAGGGAAACGTTTATCAATCTAAGTTTATTAAAGTTCCATAAAGAAATGAAGCTTTACAGGAAACATGTAAGACTAATAAAATAATCCTATTTATTCTTTATTTTACTTATATATATATATATATATATATATATATATATATATATATATATATATATATATATATATATTGTTGTTGTTTTGCATTTAAATACGCTACACATTTTTTATGGTTTCTATAATTTCAGAGAGAAACTGCTGAAAATCGGAGATAGTGTTTGATCTGATGTACAGACTGACTCTTGATTTTTTTTAAACCTGCTAATTTGTCTGTCTGTCTGTCTGTCTGTCTGTCTGTCTGTCTCTCTCTCTCTCTCTCTCTCTCCATATACGCGTGTGTATGTGTGTGTGTGTGTGTGTGTGTGTGTGCGTATGTATTTTTGCTGGCGTACTTGGCGTATGAGTTAAAAAGTTTCAAATATATCCTGTTGAATTTATTAAGTAAGTTTATATTTTCTTTTCATTCAAATTCTAATGAAAAACGCTGGGGAGACATTGCAAATTATCTACTACCATGTGTGGCTACTGTGTTTTCTCCAGACAAAAACGGTAAAATAAATGATTGTTGTCGAATGCGATTTTTAAACGGCTTCTTGACACACTTACCCAGTTGTCTCTTCTTTCAACATCATCGATATTGTCAGTTATCTTTCTCAGGGTGTACCGTTCGCATACAGCCCCTATTTAGTGGGATGGTAAGATTAAACGGTCGCCTTGTACAACAATACATACGGTTTATGCATGCTATTTTTAAAGGAAGGGGATAATTTTTATTTATTAATTCGACAGATTTTATTAATTTATTCGAAATATTAGATAGAAATATGTGCTCTCCATTTATTTTTTTTCTACTAACACATCTCGAATATTCAGGCCAGTAGACGAAAAGAAAGGAATATAGAGTTTAATACATAAATGCAATGTATACACAAATACGGGTAGCCAAAAAAATAACATAAGTATATTAATAGATATATATTATTATATATAATTTATTATTATATATATATATATATATATATATTCACGCGCACCCTGCCACATATTCGATATTATAAAAATAAATCCTTTTCAATACGCTTATAATAAAAGTGAAATCATATTGTTGTCACTCTCCGAGTGATTCTAGTCAAATTAGAAAATTCGCTTAAGACTCAACGTTGTGAAAATGATTACAAATTTTAGAAGCTGTAATTTTAAAAGTAAACAGAATCCTGCCAACAACAAACAAAATGTGCTACATTGCAGTTTACACTTTTGGAACCAACATCGATTGCTTTACATGTTCATTGCAATAATTACAGTTAAGATCAGGAAATTCAACATAAAACACGTCTTTCAGCGTGTGGCGTAGCAGTTGTGTATACAGATTCGTTTCAACATTATTTCTACTGTTGATTGCAGCCTCACATATCTACACATCTCTTCTTTTGCGGTTAACATCATCTATGTCCGGAAGGCAAGCTGGACTGATGAATAATCGGGCTAAATGTGTCGGCAGCAACCAACACTTCTTCAATGGCCACGGCAAATTATCAAGCCAACGGTAG